AATAAGGTTAACATCTGAATGTGTTCCGGATGTGTGTTACATGTGCACGTGCACGAAACTTCCAAATAACGTTCATTTTTCTAGTGGTTCCATGAATGCCAAAAATGATTGCTTGATCATTCACGAATCGATTCCTTGCGGTTAAAAAATATACGTATAATAGTAGTATTTCGATCAGAACGACGAATAGTGGTTACGAAAAGAGAGCATTTATTCACTTTCCCCGTGAAGGAATTTAAAAGCATTTACACTCGATTACGAGATTTGCCCACCTATCTGTCCATTCCTAGCGCCTGGCAAGCGATTATCAGCTGGCAGCCCATATGGGCTGCCATCGTCCCAGGAGCACATGTTGTTGGCAGCCCATATGGGCGGCCATCGGCGTGAATGTGTTAAGCAAGATCATCCCAAAGGGATGTATAGGGAGGTGCGAAATAACCTGCCGTGCGCTACAGTAATCCGCTGATTACGCTACCGTACTCAGCTGCGGAGCCACCCGTGGAAACCTACTTATTGGAAAGACAGGAGGAATCCGTGAGGGTGAGGAGCGACACGCAATTCGCAGCGTAGGATCTGTCCCCGACGATCTACTATGGCTGACCCGCGCGCTATCAGCACGCTACGCCCATCAACTGACTAACCCCTCGCCGTTTCACTCTGGCAGCCATTTCGGAGAGGGCGTTGCAGAGGGTAACACCGCTGAGAGGCGCATCAATGCAGAAATCAGGGCAAGGAAGGGGGTCACTATTTGTAGGTTCAAGACCACATTTCATCGTTTTTTCTTCATCGTTACACCATTGTGCACCTCTTCCTCAGTTCCATTGAGCTCCCTTCTAATCACAAATTCCGCTTAAATGCACCACATCAATAGCGCTTAGCGGTGCAGCCTTGATTTCGCCTCCTTTCCGAAGTCTACGTAAGGTTCGCTCATTCTCCAACTTGTTTTTGGAGCGGGTGTAGCTATGTCAGCGTGGCTTTCTAGGTAATCAGATATGCTACCAATCGATGAAAGCGCAGACTATTTTGATCGTTCTTTGGAAGAGAATCTGCTTTTGGCGGTGGTAGCGCCACCTTTCCACATCAGAACAATAAGAGGCGCTAAGGACTTCTGACAGACTCCACCAAAACTAACATGGTCCGCCCACCGTTCGATATCTTGTCTGCGTCGCTAACTTGATCTGCTATGCTCTCTCTTCTCGGACTTCTCTACCACTCTCCGCGCTCACATTATCTCTCAACTCCACATGTATTAGACTTCCCATCCCCAATTTTAATTTGAGTAGATACCACATCAATCTGATCCTGATTCTTGCCTTTAAGAAATAACCTTGATAGTGCTTCAAAATATGATGAGTTTCAAGAAAAAGTCTCGATGGGAGTTCTACCTCCATTCAAAGGATTCACATTTCTATTATGCTAGGTATGCCCAACAATTTAGCAACGTTTCGCTGCCTGAGGCCTTAAAACTATGGCGGGGAAAAAGTAAAGTTAAAAACTTGCTGATCGCATTTTGAGTTCCAGTGATTGTTGAAGTTTTGTCACAGAGTTCATGTTCGGAGGCACGAAATAAATGGTGCAAGGTAGGAATTAGGTAGGAACTAGGAAGAGTGAAAGATCTTGGGAGCACAACTTTCTGGCGAAACAATTTTGCAACTCGCGGACGAGTACAAAGTGAAAAAGGCAAACATTGCCGCCTTTCAAGGTTTTTTGGCGAATACATCGCCGACGGTTGGCGATATATTTGCTGAAAGCGATGAAATAAGCAATCACGGTGGGAGGTGATTAGAATTATAATACTTCCTGAGAGTTGCTTCTATGAGGAAGCAGGACGTAGCTTATCTTTAGGCTTATTCGAGGTGGTTCGTGATTGGGTAGTAACTGCCCAACACTCGCTCATGAAAGATCCTTCCTCTGAGGGCTTTGGAAGCGGAAATTTGCATCAACTGATCCAAATCTCTTCGTTTGTTCAGAGTTTAAGAGTTTGAAGTATAGACGCGATTTTATTATTAGCAAAAGTGGCGCAAAGAGGCTCAATTATACCAGAATAGGAAATATTTTCAAGAGCTCCTGGGAATGCTTGAGGAAGTAAAAAAAAGTTTTATCTAATTTCTATTTCTGCAACCTAATGATTGGGCAAAGTTTTTTTTACATCATAATGTCGCGGTAAAATTCTTTTCCTCATTGTGAGCGTGTTTCTTCAAGTGAGAGGAACAAACATGAAAGAAATGAACATAATTCATTCGAAACTGACTTTTTCTCATTGTTTTTCCGCTTGATTTTATGTGGAATGCCTTCTCTTCCACGAGTGAAGTCCACACTGCGCTAGCTTTCCCCGCGAAGATAACTGAAATTTGAACTGATTAACTGAATTGCGAAGGAGACGCATTGCACCCATCTGCTGCGCGTCACTCTCAGTCGGGGATGTTATTTGGACTACGCCTCTTTCGATATTCTCTCTCGCCCCTACTGTCAGTATATAAAAGGGATCTTCCCAAGTGATACACTTAAAAATAAAATGGATAAATAGATAAAATAAATGTTAATTTTGATAATGATCCTAATAACTTGTCAGACTATCAAAAATTTGAATTCCCGTAAAATTCCACGACTATTGGCGCTATGATGTCAACACGTGCACACGGTAAAAGCGCGAACGTGAAGGGGTTTCACAATGGACCTCTCAGAAAACTACACCTGGCTCCGCATCTGTTTTGCTTTTTGTCAAAGCGGCACTTCTGCTTCCGCCCACTAGGCCAGGAGAAGTCGTACAGCAAGCCTTCCTAGGAGCTGTTTCTCTTATGGATTTCATTCTCTTTGCTCTAAACTGCACATGGTCTTCAATGACCATGCTCAACACCTGTACACAAAAAAAGAATGAACAGGCGTGGAAGATTCCTTCAAGTAAGTGAAAGATCACATTCCCTCGATCCAGTTAATTTCCTATTTGCTGCAGCTCTGCTGCTTTTAATTTAATGTATCATCCTCTATTTTCTTTGTAGGTGGTTTTAGATGAAGTTGCGAGACACCAGCAGATTTTTTGCAAAACGAGCTTGTTGGCAGTCACTTATCCTGCTTTTGGAACAGCAATGACGCCCTCCCAGAACTTCCTCTCTCTGGACCATTCCCGCCCATACGGATATATAACAGAAATTTCTCATAGAAGGACCTATATTTAGGAAGCAGACAAATTCGATACGGTACGAGACGGCACGGGTACGAGACCATGCTTATCAATTCCAGCGATAGGTTGCCAGATAGAGCAGACATTGTTCAACAACGGAGGGGGGGGGTTGCTTCGAACTACTCCCTTCCATGGGTTTCATGGTATTTTAGGTGGACTTAGAGGTTTCGAGAACTCAGGTCCTTCCTGTATGAAACCTAGATATCTCGACGACCGTGCTGCAGCTGGACTTGTGTAGGTCTTAACTACTTTTCCATTGCTCTCGGTCTTAGGCTTGATTGTCCATTGGCCACCTTGAAAAACACAGGAGCTTACACCTTGTCCCAAAGATTCTGCTCGGCGGAATCGAGAACGGCGAAGTAGCCGTTCCCTCTCCTTTCTTTCGGTCCCTCGTTTAATCGAGGTGAACTGTGACACAGCTCTAACGTAGGAATTGTGAAGGTTCAGCTCTCGCTGCTGCCTCGGCGTTAAACCCACTACAAAAAGTTCAGTCGACGACTGAGGGGATCTTTACTGCTTCCTGATGCTTTTATGGAGCTCCGAATCTCACAGCACAGCTGGGAGATGCAATCGTTAAACAGGTCTGCCCGGAGCTTGTTGCATCGAGTCTGCAGTCTCTTATTGGAGCCTACCCGCTTGAAACAATTTGTTATGTGACCACCGCACTTAGACGTATCAGGTAGACAGTTGGGTATGCCCTCCTTCGAAAGAGAATTGAAATTGTGAGAATTGGTGATTCTATGCTAACTAACTTCGTACAAACCAGCAGCTTGATCGACCAGAAAAGGGCAAAAAAACTGTCAAAATTAACAGAATGTTGTGGTCCACGTATGGGAAATTGTTCGCGAATCTAACACTAGAAACTTCTCATCGAACTCATTACATGCAAGACCCCTGTAATTAACGCCTAACTGGTGAGAAGACTCCAAGTAACGAAATTTAACCAAAATTCAGCAAGTATATGTATGTGCTAAACAACAATCGAAACCACCCTCTTCGAAAAGTGGTGCAACTCCAGAGATTGAGCCTTACCATTAGTCGAGAGTTCCACAAGGGGGCATGCAGCGCTCATCACCCTCCTTCTGCAAGCCGTCTATTCTTCGTGTTGAGCACTAATATTGCGGACAAAAAATGCGATTCCCTGAAGTACCCCAAAATCGAGTCACTGCTTTCAGCTTGAATTCGCCGGCCATAGAGGCATAGACACTTTGGTGAACTGCTCGCAGCAACCCACTGACAGTGATGGTCCATATGTTGATTGCGGACTCTGCCCTTGTTAGAAGCAGATTCGTCTCCCGGAATCACCGGTCCCATCCTTCCCTTCCTGGCTTTACGCTCTCTATCACTTGTAACACCAATATCCTGCGAGAGCATGTTGGTGTTACAGGTGATAGAGAGGCGTAAAGTCACGAAGCAGAAAAAGGTGTTTCATGGATAGCGGAGAGCATTATCAAAATTACGACATGTCGTTAACGCTCAATTAAAAAAACCTGCTGTCAAGTTTTCTTCCTCAACTTGTCCTCCTCTCTTCCGCCCTCCATTGCCCTATTTCACATTGTACTCCAGCTACCACTGCAGTACAATGTGAAATAACATGGAATGCATAGTAGGTATTAGAATTCGTAAGAACGAGATGGATAAAGTAACATAGGCTATTAAAATTCAAAAAAGTAAAGAATTGGATTGTGACGGTTAGGGTAATTCAATAAGGGTCTGTTTACATTTGTTCTCTCTTTATGTTATCTACATAGGTCATCAGCATTCTAGACCTATGCACGCCGTATGTTTATTTTGAAGCGCTTAGGCATTATGTTTCCAGATGTCGGACGGTTCGAAGACGATCGAAGGGGCGGAGCGAGGACGAGAGGAACAACGAGGATTCTGCCGAAGGACCGTACTGCGACCGGATATTCCGACTTCGCCACATGTCTTCCATCTTTATGATCTACATATCTTTTGTTGTGCTCATACAATTTCATGCCTTATGTCTGTTCGTCGTTATGGTTATACATGAAGTTGATTGCTTATGATGTTGTGGACTTTATGTGGTTTGATTGGGCTAGCCTGAGGCCATTGAGTGATTATGAGGGAAGGATGCTAAGAGGACATCCGAACCTTTACTGGATGAAACTGTGCGAGCAAGATGTCAAAGGTCTTCCAGTCATGCGCAGTGTACTGGAGCTCATATACCATGCGGTCTGTATCGATCGGGAACAAAAGGGACTGGCATGCGGAACAAGGGTTTGGTGGAACAGGACAAGAGGGAGTGTACTGAGCAGGGAGAAGTTACTGTGGAATGTAGTGGTGTTCTTGATTACAGCAAGTCTCAGAGACAACACTAGGGTGACTTCACGCGAGGAAGAAGTCAATGCGAAACTGGAAGAAGGAAGATGCATTAGGAATGTGGTCTGAGGGATGACGTTGCTCACAGCATTGCTTTGTCTGTATGAAGAGCAATATGAACGGCAGCCACTGATGGCCGAAGAAGAGTAGGTGGTGGATCAAGGTGAGCGGCAGCAGCAAGGGATTGCTAGTACGTGTTGCACCAGGCAGGGAATGGACCCACGACAGTCACGGGCTGCATTTGCAAAAACATTTATAATGGTTGTAAGCTCTGCATGGAAGTCTTGGAATACAAACTTTTGAATACCATGACCGTAAGCTCTCTCGGGTACGCAGAGGGAAACCAGAGTCAAAACTTTGGGTTGGGGCGCGGGCCGCGAAGACACCCGTTTGCATTTTGCATAGACGATGATGTCTCAATTCGAGAAAACTCATAAGTAATCAGTTGGAGTTTTGAAGAAATTAGCACGGCACAAACATCGCAAATCGGATACAAAGTCCTGGCTCAGCAATGAACTGGACCTGAGTTACTGCGATTTCTTCATCTCAAGTTGATTTCCGCTTGCGTGGGAGTAGAATCTTGAGCCAAATTCTATCCAGGATAGCATCTTGGAGAGAGCCCTCATCACCTCTAACAACTGCAACGATTAGTTTCATGCAAAGCGGTATGCCTGCCCATGGACTGAATTTTGTGAAAATCTGCTAGAGAGCCGATTTGTCCACCTTTGTGCTGCACGAAGATTGGCCAGTCAAAACCTCCCATTTGAATGTAGCAGATTATTTCTTGTGGCCAGTGTAAAGCTGAAGAAGGCGCAAAAAAGCACAGTTTGTATGAACTGCTAACAGCCGCGTTTCAAAAAGTATGAGATGGAGATCTGAAGGATGCTATGCCTTTCAATTTTTATGGGACAGATTTGAAGAAAACTGCTCAGTTTATGTTCTGCAAAAATATGCTCATACGTTGCTGTACATGATATCCCGTTTCGACCTTTCTGTTCCGAACTGGGCCACATTCACTTTGTCACCATACTTATGCCCCACTCTAAACGGAAACACCGGCTTCGACATGATGCGCTATTTCGCGCAAGGATGTCACACTTCATCTAACTGCTTTCTAACTTTTCTGCTTACCGCATTTTCGCACGCGCATTCGCAGCGCCTTCACACTCATTGAAAAAGCCTTTCTCGGAAAGGAGATACAGATATGAAGCTAAAAAAAACTGAAACACCTGATAAGGTACACTTTCGCAATTTCCTCGTAGAGAAAGGAAGCGGAGAATGCGTGAGTACTCTCAACGACATTTTTGCAATAAATTACCCGAACTTAGATCTGGATCATTGCTGGCAGCTTCTTAGAGTAACTCTGGGTATAGCTGTAAAATATTAGATTGGTCAAAAAGTATCCGCCGTTTGCACCTTGAGTGTTCTACTACATTTTTTGGTGAATTCTCTTGCAACTGTTCAAATATTCTGGATGCCATCTTGTAGAGAAAGATCAGCACTTTCATGTTCATACAGAGGTTTGAGCTAATTCTCCCTTCTGAGTTACGCAAAATCGTGATTATCCGACTGTTGGCAGTTCTTGTCTTCAAACTCTGAACAGACACGGCAGGGCCAGTCCGAAATATGGTAACTGCTTTGAGAAGGAATGTATCTAGGAAACGCATAACGCGAGATTGGCTCTTCAGGTTTGAGCCTGGAGAAACAAAGCTCGAAACTGGTACGCGTAGCAAAAGCAATGACCTTGATGAACGGGATCGTACAAAAGGAATGAAGGGAGCTTATCACGAATACCCAACCACAGGTGTGGCAGGGGATATTGGGCCTCTAGTGGCACCGAACTCGGCTGGGTGCACGCTGTGAGGAAGGAGGAAAAATGTCGTCAACTTATTCATCGAATTGATTCCTGCCGGCACCTTGAATCGTTGAGACGCGCGTGGAGGTGTGTGCTCAGACTCTTCCTTGCAACAGTAAGGAACTGTTTCCAAGATGGGTGATAGCGTAGGGTAAGACTACGCTTCTGCACGCAAACAGTGGAAGGGTTGCTAAATAAGTGGACGAAATTAAGCTGCCTTTGAATGTTGCCAAACATGGACCGCCTCCAGCAACGACTTCACTCAATTTCTGATGGCCTAGCACAATGCAAGATCCGAGAATCGAGTCATTCGACAACGCTGGACAATTTTCGTAAATAATAGAACATAGAACACTAGGAAATACGGGAATGTTGGTCTGCTTCAAGGAAAAAATGAGTTCGTTCCTTCACCACGGTAACGCTAGACCGTGGTGAGAGATCGAACCTCATTTTCACTACCGGAGAAGAACTCTCTGTGAAATACATTCAGGAGAAATGGTTTGAAACCTCATCTGCCATCCTTGATATAGCCCAGGTATATCTCTAACAAAACACCAATTCCCCGCTTTTGAACTCAATTCTCGGAGGAGGAATCGCGTTTAGAATTGGGGCATGTCGAAACCGCCTTCCTACATCTTTAGACTTGCTGTAATTTGGACTTCTACCGGAAGGGTAGATATTAGCATGGATATGATTGACAACAATATGGTGAACATAATAGTTTTTATTCCAAAGGAGAAGGATGTGCTTCAGCAAAGTTGGGTGTTTCAAAGTTTGGGCTCACACGGCGGCTACTTTTGACCGCCCCTAAAGTAATTTCAGCTTACAGCCGAGATTGTGGCTAACAGTTTATCAGATGACATGCCGATGTTATCGCCTTTTTCGTAGCCTGTAAGAAGAAAACTTCAGAAAACTAATTGTCCAAACACTACTGAAACCTACGGAATTCACTCAAATCATAGGCCGCTAAGGCGATGTCATAGAGCTAAGAAGACTGACTTTCCATGATGTCGACTTGGATCCTTAGCAATGCACCAGCGGAGCCAGCCTCGCAGCATTGATGCGAAATTGATTGCGAAGGTGTTTCTAATCTACATATTTTACTCTCAGGAGGTCTCTTGAGCAAGTGATCTGCCCTACTCAAGCCGCATTTCTACCAGCTCGAGGTTACAGGTGAACCATTCAGTTCCCAAGTGTCCAGATGTTAGTCTTCGTACTTCTATGCCATCACATTAGTAGCCTAATAATCTGTTTAGTAACTTCTACAAGTTGAAACCGTGTTCGCACGAGTGTTTTATCGGAACGTCACCCGAACAAACTCATGGTCACAATCTCAGCTGCGAGCTGAATTGTTCCGACATCTATATGAAGGAGCCGATATTTTTCGGAGTGCGAATGTCAAACGGAGCAACGCTAAGTCGTTCATTTTTGTTAAATTTATGAACCACTTAAAGAAGGGAGATAAACTGACCCACTACCCAACTCTTCTCCTTATGGTTTTTCAGACTGTGAAATCGAAGCCCTGATCCACACGCTGCACCACGCTTATTGAAAGGCCCGCGTCCTCTGAGACTCAGACAGTTATTTTCAAGAGCTGCATATCGGTCGTAAACATTGCAGGAATGCAAAGGTCTTAGCTGAAATTATCTGTTAGTTCTTCCTAATTGTAACCTAATCTCCAATCGAAAAACATTCAGAATGCAATAATTGACCGATAATTCACGTGAAGAGAAAATTCATAGAAAAAAGAGAGTAAAGAGCAGCGGGAAATGAAGAGAGGGCTGGTTGTTATGCACAATCCGAAAAACTTACCATAGACGCACTTTGTTGAAGAACCAAATGCTGCTTCGATCAAAAGGTATGGTGCAAGTAATTTGACTTTGCCTTGGGCACCTGCACATACTTTACGCGCTTGTTTTCAGTTTCTCGAAATGACTTCGAAACGTCCAACAACACATTCGTTGTTTGTAAATACATACACAACTACACAGACTTCTGTATCATGAAAAATTTTAGTTTAAACATCGTAATCAAGATAATAAGTAGATTAGTTTGGTTCATTTTGTTTCTATTATAAACATAATAAGTTCATTCTGTAAACATCTCAAGCACAGTATTCCTTGCGTTCCCCATTTCTGCGTCCATGCAGTTGACAACAACAAGGTCTTTTCCGATCCGGTCTGAAGCCGAGTAAAGCGGTTGTGTTCACGAAACATGCGGTATCATTCGTGTTCACCTTATACCAAATTCTCAGTATGCTCTGCAGGATAGTGTAAGAGCAGTACTAAATGTTTGTAAGAGTTTCGCACTGTTTGCGCCAACGCAAATACCAGAGCATACAGGGCCAATAAAAAAGACATTTTGTCTTTAAACTCAAATGGATTTAATCACACTTTGCTCAGCTCAAAGCGTGTGCCCAACTTAGAATTGAAGAGCGCATTTCATTTCATAAGAAAATCTTCATAGTGGCCATCTACGTGGACGGCATCAGAAAAGTTTGCCCCGGAAACATGGTGCTCTGGTCGAGCTCAATGGGGTTCTCGACTGATCGTGTACCGTTACGACGGGTTCCGAAGGGCGGGTTCCGAGGGGGTTTGCATAGTTAGAGCTGTGTTCCTAGGAAACTATAGAGCTTCAGGCTGAAGCAGTTACTGTAGGCCTCCCTGAGCTCGACGACGGTGACAGATGACGTCATATTCTGAAGACGGTGAGGGTAGTGAAGGAGGGCCTGCGTGTACTTATAGAGGGACATTTAGGGAATATTTTGCTGAGGAACTTCCGTCAACGACGGCAATCTCTGCGAAGAAAAAAGGCCGAAGTGCGACCTGGGCAAAATGTCTTTTTTGCCCCCCCCCCTGTATGTTATGCAAGTTTCACATAAAAGGTTTTCAGCCGTCTGTCACTTGAGATCAACTGAATATTTGGGGCCTAACATCCTTGAGTACGAATTCGCTGCCATATCTGTGCCTGAGTACTAAACATGCCAACCACATATAGGATTTACTCCATTTTCGGTAGGTAGGACTATAAAGAACAAGGACATGCATCTACATATTTACTCAGTGTCACCAATAGAAGAAGAAATCCATCACAAATCACATCCAAATTCACATCAGACGCGAAGTTGAGCCACAGGCACTACGTGTAATGTGCTTCTCCGGGAAAAATTATTTGTGCGGGATCATGTGGACCGGTTCAAAGGTTTGGAAACTCAACAATATGAAGAACATTTAGCACATTGTCTTTCAAATACATGGAAGAGATCAGTTTCTTGTTGGCTTGCTAAATGATTCAATGGTAGCAAATCTTGTTCTTTGCCAAAAATTAAGGTAACACTCGAGCACTAGCACTCGCACCTGACTAACGAGAGAAATCGCTAGCATTCCAGCGAAATAAAGCGCTTGCACACAAGCGAAGATTGGAAATTGTGCAACATTTTTGAATGTCCGAAAAGTTTTGGATAACTCGCTTCATTTATCTAACACATTTATCCACTTCACTTGACCCCGGGACGAGGCTGATTTTCTGTTTGCTGTAGGCTTATAGGCTTCTGAAAACATGGTAGCCACAAGGAGACGGTCACACCTATATGAAGGGTTGATGTACAGTTGATGCGGGGTTTTTCCAGCTACTTCGTCATCGTTCTTGGGTGGTGTATCGAGTACTGTCCATCACAAAAAAGAAACTTTTCTTGTGATCGGTGTTAACTAGGGACTCCAATAGCCATCTCTTGGACTTGTTCGTAGAATGTTGTTGTGGTCACAGCACTACCCTCAAGTAGGATCCTCAAGTATACATACACATCCTTGAAGCAGAAGAAGGGTGAGATCATCTCTTTCTTGGTGTGGGTCCTTTACTTTGAAGCGTTTGTGGCTCCATGCACACTGGTAACCATTGCAGTTTCCTGCTTGGATTTTTGTCCGACTTTCACTTTTTGTCTTGCACAACTTCCGCTTCTCATCCTGAACAGAAATGAACTTTGTTCATGTCGTCCTTCGCCTACGGTGGAGGAACTTTTGGCATATATCGACTAGCATTTGACTCTTGTGTTCAATTAGAGAGTGTGGTATAACTCCGGGGATCATTGTAGCACAATACTGCGACGCAGAAGAGATATCGAAGGGTGGGCGGACCACAAAAGTAGTGGTGGAGTCTGCCAAAGTCCTCAGCGCCTAGCCTCCTTGTAATCTTAGTCTTACTGTAGCACATTCTGTTTAGCTTCACACGAAATCGTACGCGCTGCGTCTCGTCCGCTGGCCCGTCCGCGCTTCTGCCTCCTGCCGTGTGACGAGCCTCCTATCGGATACGCGCCACAACCAATAGGAATACTCGAACTCGTTGCACTCAATGGAACCGATCTTATGATATGATCGGTAATAAAAAAACTGAAGAAGAGAGGAACGGGCAGCTTTTTGTATTCAAACTTGACGTAGCAAAAAAGAAGAAGATTAGGACAGACAGCTGTGGAAGATGAGATTAGTCACGTACCTTGAATTGCCCCTTCCCCTTGAATGGAGGCTTTGCACAATAGTGGTCAAAATATTCGCCTGAAATAAGGTGCTAAAACAAAATTTCCGTTGAATGACAATGACGATTGATTTATGACGGATGCGAGCAAGAATGCAGGAAATTTTTTGACATACCTGTAGTTGTGGAGAAAAGTAGATAAAGGACTGCGAGCATAACATAGCATGACGCTCCGCCTTTGCAGATGTTTTTTTGCCAAGATTTTCCATCACACATCATTTAGCCACTCACTAGAGATGAACACACTTCCTGAATGAAAAGATAAGTGCTTTTGCATCGTTTACGCAGCACTTTCACAAAAAAATATGGGCTCACCATTAGTAAGGGTGAATTCAGATGCATCATAATGTTCAGGGTGCCCCACAAGCTTCTGAACTTATGAAATGCCCCACAAGATTTTGAACTTATGAAATTTTCAGTGATTTTGTAATTTACTGCCTTTTTCATTAACCAGATTGGTCCCCCGGCAAGCGCCGGAACCTCCCTACCTTGCGTAAGCTTTCCCTTCTCCCTCCTCTCCTTACTCTCCCCTCGTTCCCCTCTGCTCGCCGGCTACCACAGCATCACCTTGTCGAATGACCGAAAGTGTGCTAAGTGCGTGTTTATATAGCCGTTGGGGTGTTATCACAATCATGCCATTGCAAAACATTGATAGCTAAAGTCCTGTGAGCTACATGATTTGTTAGCGGTTTGTTATCCCATGAGCTTCCTTCTCACTCACTTCATTTTGCGGACGGACACACATACATACATACACACATACAGACATACAAACCGACACACAAAGTTAGCGCTTTATAAAATAGAAGGATATTTATGGTTCCACAAATCTCGAAAACCACGGCTCGCTGGCTTCCGATGGTGGTGAAGCGGGACGGCGCATAATGCCCTTCAAAAAGGAAGGCGAGTAGCAACCACAGTAGTCAAATTTTCACAAGAATCAAGGTTTCGACTTAACTTAGATTTTTGAGGTAAGTAGGCATATACACACACCAACGGGCGACTCGGAGACGTGTCTTCGTTACCCATATCGAATGACCGAATCACTTCATCGAATAAACCATCAGTCACCAAGTACGTCGTTACCGAAAACACAAATGTGATGGAAAGATGGCAGTTCCTCTTCTCGTCAGAAGGGCTTTGTTTGGCCTAGCTTTTTCCACTGACAGGCGTCTTGCCAACGAATGGCCGGTTCCAAGAAGAACAACGTGGAGTTGGATATGATACGTGGGAAGGACCTCATGATGCAGGTTGAATTATCAGTCACACGTCAGCTTTTTAGCTACAACATGATCTAGCGCGGCGTAGCAAGGATTTCGTCCTCAGCTCGTAAGATGACATGCCTGATGGACTACCGAACCTATTTTCTTGCAGGTTAGGAGCTGAGAGATAATCGGTGCACTGACCATAAGTTTCTGACCCTGTTTTCCATCAGGATAAATTGATTAATAACATACCGTTTACTTAGCTAAAACTAGTACTTCCACAAATCCTATCCGTAGCCTCAACGTGGCGTGGGAGTGGCAACGGCCTTTCGGCCGGCTAACGCGGAAGGTGCCTTCAGAGGATAAAAGAAGCAGAACGTCACTCAGAAGGACACAGAAACTTCAAATTCTCAAACATGACCAATGGATTTTTCGAGTATTCCGATTAATGCTAGGTCACCCCAAGCTAGGGAAGCCCATCGTAATGAACAAACAAGCTAGGAAGTCCTCCGTAAAGGACAAACGCAAGACCATCAGGATTGCCACCCTCAACGTTGGTACTCTGACTGGCCGAGCTGCCGAAGTGGCAGAAATGCTCAGAGAAAGAAACATCGACATCTGCGCATTACAGGAAACAAAATGGACCGGCGCCAAGACGAAAAGAATTGGTGGATACAGTTTGTATTATAAAGGAGAACGATCGAAAGTCAATGGTGTCGCCATCGCCGTTTCACAGAAGTTAGAACACACCGTCAAGGATATACAAAGGATTTCTGACCGCTATCATATATGTGGCCATTAGGGTATTCGGCAAGAGAGTTGCTTTACTAAAAATTGTGGGGTGCCTCCTACCGGTGTACGGACGGCTGTAGTGGAGTTGAGGTAGGTCAACTGCACAGCTTTCACTAGAGGTTTCCGGTAATTTTAGATATCTGAGGGATTCTTAAATGAGTTGTTGCAGCACTCTGTCAGAGGCTTTCTTCCGATCTAGAACGACCACGTGGAGCGAATTATGCCATTTTCTTGCTCTCTCCATCATCCGTCGGGCGACGTGTAATTAGCGTCGGTCGACTTACGTGCTCAGGTCAAGCTCGACACTGCATCCGGGATTACTTCACAGTAGAGGGTTCTTCTTTGCCAGGATGTAGTCGATCTGTGCCTTATGCTCTCGACCGTGATTCCTTCTTTTGGAACAGTGAATTGGCAAAGACCAGATTCGTGACTTGGCATATTCTAGAATCCGTGATTCATCTTCATTCTTTACACCATATGGAATCTTCCTTGTATGTCCTCGTATTGATCACTATCAGTACCGACATGCCCATTTAGATCTCCCATAATGTATATATTATACTTCCATCGGCGGAAAGCGTGCAAGTAACATCGGCAAGTTGCCCGCAAAACTGATTTTTGACGACATTGGGTAGGTTTGCTTGCGGGGCGTTCACACAGACAAAATAAGTAACTCTCTTGCCAAATACCCTAATGGCCACATGTATGATAGGGTCAGAAATATTTTGTGTATCCTTGACGGTGTGTTCTAACTTCTGTGACACGGCGATGGCGACACCATTGACTTTCGATTCTTCTCCTGTGCTAAACAAACTGTATCCACCAATCCTTTTCGTCTTTGCGCCTTTCCATTTTGTTTCCTGTCATGCACAGACGTCGAAGCCTTTTTCTCTGAGCATTTCTGTCACTTCGGCAACTCGGCCGGTCAGAGTACCAGTGTTGAGTTTGGCAATCCTGATGGTCTTGCGTTTGTCCTTCACGGAGGACTTTCTAGCTTGTTTGTTCATTATGATGGGCTTCCCTAGCTTGGGATGACCTAGCATTAATC